GATTTTTCGAAGGCGTATGGGTGGTGGTAGTGGTGGAGTGACATGGTGTTGTTGGTATTAATGCTTGGTTTTCTAGCGGCAATGGTTAGGGGTGGTTGGGAGATGGTGTTGTTCGAATTGATGGTTGGTTTTCTGGCAGCAATGGGTTGTGGTGGAATTTAGTGGTTGGTTTTCTAGTAGCAGTGAGGTGATGGTGGTAGTGATCTATTGTGTAATGGTGGTTCTTTCATTTAATAACAAGAATAGGATTAAAAAAATAAGAAACTAACAAATAAAATAGTAATTTCATCATTTCATCAGATAATAACAAACAGTCTCGGGACCACGCATGATATTTTTAAAAACCATACGGATAAACCATGTCAAACATTTAAAAATTGGACTAAAACTACAAATGGATGTAAACCACATAGCCCAAAACTATAATTTACTAATAACTAAATGTAAAAATAAGAAACTTGTAATTTGGACCTTATAGTTTGTTGATTTCTTTGGGTTTCGATCCGGTGATGACTATGAATATAGTTATTTTGGTCTACTTTCATTGTGATTTCATCTGTGAAGATAACCCCGTTAAATTTCATTCGTTAACACACTTCATGTTCCCTTCGTTTTTATGGGAAAAAATGTCTTTTCACTTTTCCTTCGAGCTCTATGTACCTCTTTATAACTCCAACGAAAAATGACTTTACCGTCTTTCTTCTTTGCATTCTTTATACATTGAATTTTTAAGGAAACCCCAAGCTATGTGTTTCTATAAAAGAATATTGATCATGAAATTATCATGGACAATGCTTAACTCTGGTCGGTCATTTTTAGGCAACTCCTAAACTAATAAGCCAATTTCTAATTCATTAGGGGTTATCCTTACTCAAAAAAGAAAATCCATATCATGGTTTTGTTATACATGTCCTAAAGGTTGTTATTTCCAGCAATTGCATGAGTTGTGTGCAGATTTCATGGATAGGGGACCCATCCATATGTGCAAGGTCAATGATGATTATCACTTGTTTGCTTATGAACATTATAAGCTAAAAGAATACATCCAATCGTTGAATGTTGAGGCAAAAAATTAAATATGTATATGTTATGTAGGTTGTAGTTCAAATCTATTTCTTGTTATTGTAGTAGGGTATATGTAGATGAGAGGGATATGTTGGGAGTTTTTGGTTGTTTTAGGAAATGATGGAATTTGATTTTTCTAAACATGATTGATAACGGTAATGGAAGATGTTTGTCATTTGTTCGTGTCAGATATAAGAATGTACTTATCATCAAACCTCCAAAAAATGTTAGAAATGTATTCATGTTAATATTAATCTTAATCTTTAATCTAGAAAGGGTAATTTAGTATGTTCATATAAAATTTTAACTTTTAGATAACTTTTTTATTTTTAAATTAATTTAAATATAATTGAATTATGAATTTGGATATTAATGTGAATTTTATGGTTTGAGAACGATATATATGTAATTTTAAAATTTATAAAGATATAAAAGTAATGTTAAGGTTTCTAAGGATACAAATGAAAATTTTCCTATTTTAAATGTATAAACGTATTTTTTTACGTATTTATACATATTTTTAAATATTATATATATATATATATATATATGTGTGTGTGTGTGTGTATTTTTATGTGTTATTTTTTTATGTATTACGTATTTATATCTATTTTTACATATTTATGTAATTTCTTAAGTTTTTATATGTATTTGCTTACATTTTTTTATGTATTTTAAATTTATAAACATATTTTTTACGTATTTATGTATTTTTTTACTTCAAGTTGTATTTAACATTTCATCCAATTTATACAGCTTCTTCAAGTATGTCTAGATGGTTTTCGTACATACCCACATATTTTAAACATTTCTATTTAGCTTACCTTGAAATTAGGCATCGAATGGAAAAATCTTAAAATATGTGAGTATGTTGGAAAGCCATCCGGACATACTCGCAGAAGCTTTGTGAATTAGATGAAATAGTGAAGACGACTTGAAATTAAAAAAAAAAAAAATACATAAATGCATAAAAAAAATACGATTACACATTTTGAATACATAAAAATACATAAACATCTACATAAAAAAACTAAAATAATACCTAAGTATGTACAAATACATATGATTACGTACAAATACATATATAAATACGTAATACATAAAGAGCACATAAAAATACACAACATATGTAAAATACTTAAAGGTACATGCAAATATGTAAAAAATACGTCTATACATTTAAAATACATAAAAATACATAAACATCTATATAGAAAACCTTAAAAGTACATAACTACGTGAAAATACATATAAATGCGTAATACATAAAAAAAAACACATAAATATACTAAAAAATATGTAAAATACTTAAAAATACATACATATATATACATAAAAAAAATACGGTTATATATTTAAAATACATAAAAATCTATATAAAAAAACTTATTAAATACATAAATACGTAAAAATACGTAAAAATACATATAAATACATAATACATAAAATTAGGGGCGAGCAAAAACAGAACCGATTAAAGAAAAACCGCAACCAACCGAAACCAATGGTGCGGATGTAATTTTTGCAAAAACCGAACGTCAACGTTGCGGTGTGGTTTCTATCCAAAAAACCGGTCCACCAAAACCGAACCGCACCGCAAGCGTGTATAATAATAAATCAATCAATGTATATTTTATACATGCTATTTAAAATACTTATAAACGATAATACATTTATTATATGTTGATTTTGTGTTTGTGTAAGACTATATTGGATGCAAAAGAAATGCTCTATTGTTGGTCAAACGTACTAATCGATTACATGTAATAAGCTTGTAACAAATTAAGTCAAAATCAACGGACCTTCAACTATTGATTAGTTTATGAGAGTAATCACATGTTGTATTTTAAGCGACTTACAATTTTTGTTTATGTATTTTTGTTTTGAGCTGAAAATGAATGGTTTAAAAAAACATCACAATATAAGCTTACATGTGGTTTTCAGTTCTTACAGTTTTAAAAAACCGCACCAAAAAACATAAAAAACTGCACCAAATTCTAAACACGGTTTAAAACCGAAACCGCATTTAAAAACCAAAAAAACGAACCATTGCAAAATCGCACCCAACGGTTTTAAGAATGCAAAAACCGGACTAAACCGCACCATGTTCACCCTTACATAAAAAAAAATAACACATAAAAATACATTAAAAAATATGTAAAATGGTTAAAAAAAATACTTAGATACATATAAACACATAAAAAAATATGTTTATACATTTACAATACATAAAAATATATAAGCATACACATACAAAAACCTTTTAAAAAAAGTACATAAATACGTAAAAATATGCATAAATACGTAAAAATTATGTTTATACATTATACACAAATTTTGACGAAATCTACAGAAAAGTCTCATTATTTTGGAAAATTTGATAATTTGGTCCGATGACCTGCTGATCAGGTTAAAAATGACTAAAGTGAATAAATTAGCCGGTTTTTAGGCTTTTCCATTCAAAAAGTATAAAAATCATGAATGTTTTGTTAAACAAAAAATAGGACTTTATTAAAAAAAATTCCCAAGAAGGTGGAGTCGTTGACTTTGGATGAATTTGTTACGACGTTGGGGTGAATGAGGGGATCAAGGAGAAAAAGGATTTTTGTAGAGTGTAGACCAAACCTAGTAACTTCTAAAAATGGTTGGGTTGGTTGAGATGTAGTGGGAGGAGAAGAAGAGGAAGATATTGGATGAGGAGGCCGATAATGGTTGACCGATGGTGATTGAAGCAAAGTTTTCCTACAACACTAATGAAGGCGGGTGTGTCATGAGAAGGCAAAGAAGATGAGGATGGTGGTGAGAGAGCAACGACTCTAGGTAAAAATTGACAGTTCGACAAGGTGTAACATCCCACTTAATTAAATAAATATGTAGATAAAGATTACTTAATGAATAATAGCCTTAAGATAAATAATATTTAGCAAGGTGTTGGTCCCGAGGAATTAATTGTTTCAATTTTGGAAGTTAGGGGCTAACATAGTGAGTTCCGGAGTGGTTTGTAAATATTGTGGAGGCTAAGGGGCTGTTTGGTAAGTTTTTGATCTAAAATGAAATGGAATTATAGGATCAAGGGCTAAAGGGTAAATATTGGGTTGAAGTTGAAGAATATTTGGTGAGGAGGGGCTAGTATTGTAAAATGTCCAAATGTTGAAGAAAGGCAAGGGTTATACCCGGTGACCCCCTCCCGTCGTCTAACCCTAAGGGTATGTTTGGGTTAGCTTTTTTATGCCAAAAGTGATTTTCAAGAAAAGTGCTTATTAGCTTATTGCTTCTAGGAAAAGATGGGGTTTAAAAAGTGTTTGGATGTGAAAAGCTGTCTTTTCAGGAGTAAAATAGTTAAAAAGCTAAAAAGCTAGAATTTTCTAGCTTTTTGAAAGCTTTACTATTTCCTATTCAAAAAGCTATTTTAAAAAGCGCTTTTTTAAATACACAAACACTTTTTTAGCTTATTAGCTTTTTAAAAAGCTAAAAAACTAATAATCTTTTTTTAAAAGCTATCCCAAACACCCACTAAATCTGGGACTCCATTTCACAGCTGCCACCCTGAGGGAGCTTCCTTACCGCCGCTGCATCACCGAGTTCGTTGCCACCACTGACTCGCCACCGGAACGTTGCCACGATTGTCGGACGTTAGAAGCGACGTCGAAACACCAGTTGATCGCCGAAGAACCGTCGAGATCAGCGCATCTGTTCATCGTGTGGGGGTTATGCGCCGCCAGAAACACCAGTAAGTCCACCGCAACCCTACCTTGCTCTTCTTCTCGTTCTTTCTTGTGGGTCTGACGATAGAATCATTATCAGAACCTCCGATGGCCCTGGAAACCTTCGTCTCAGCCATTCCGACAACCACTGCCTCCCAAATCGGTGGTTGGGAGTTTAGTTCTCATGATTATTTATGTGTTTGCATTGTTATTGCGAGTTGAGTGCATATCATGCGTGTGTTGTTGGCAAAAGACCCACCGCCACCACCTCATGGTGGTGGTTGCTACCGTTCTGCCACCCATTTCTGCCTTCTGTCGTCCTTTTGCCGCCACCAGCCACCGTGGGAGGTGGTTGTGTGCCTGTGTATTTTATGTGTGAGATCGTTATGCACTCTTTGGGCACGAACCACCACCACGACCATTGGAAATGGTGGTTGTCGCCTGCCTGCCACCATTAGAAAATTGGGTCATAGTTGGACCATTAGAGGACTTTTTGTGAACCCATTTGGAATTGGGCCTCGGTGGGCCCATTGGGCTTGGTTTAATTATGGACCGGATTGGTGGACCATATTTAGACCTAATAATGGGAAGGTTTGTCTTATATCCTAATAGAGTTATTTGTGGGTTAGGCTCAAGGTTCTAAAAAACGCAAGGCGTGACTTGGCGGCGAGGTAAAAGTTAACTTATGTCAAGCCTTGGCAAGTCATGACGTTTTTCAAGGTGTGACTATTTTATATACATTAAAAGAGATAAATCATATGATTATTGAATTGTATCAAATATATGAAGTTTTTAGAAATGTTATATTAATATTTAATATAAAAAAGTTAACAAAAACTCAATTATTTTAGGCCTGACAAAAAAAACAAAAAAAATCGAAAAAACCTGCATCATAACGCGATAAGGCATGCCTTGACACGTTATTTGGGCGTCACGCTTAACAAACCCGCCTGAGATGTTTTCGTAACGGCTACATCACGCCTTGCGCCATGGCGCGCTTTTTAGAACCATACTTCGGCTTACACCCCGTTCTCAGGTTCAACTTAACGAGAGAAAAGAAAGGAAATAGGTGGAAATGAGAAGAAAATAAAAGCAATTGGTGTTTCCGAGTTTCATTAAAGGAGGGAAGTGGAGGGAAATTGGAGGATCACTTTCCCTTCTAGCTTTCCTTCCGATTTGGGAGGACTTGGAAAGAAAGAACAAAATGATTCATGTTCCTTCCACTTCTCTCCAACTCGGGAACACAAAAGAAAATTTTGTTTTACTTTCTTTTCTCTCATGAAGTAGCAGCAGCATTTATAGGACCTGTTCGCCATCCGAAGTGAGTCTTCTAATTCGTTTATCTTGAAAGCTTAAAATATGTGGGTATATAGGAATACTATCTACATATACTTGAAGAAGATGTGTGAATTAATGAAATGGTATTTGTATAAATACAAAAAAGTACACAACATATGCAAAATACTTAAAAATACTTACAAATACGAAAAAAAATACGTTTATGCATTTAAAATATATAAAAATACATAAATATATATAGAAAACTTTAAAAAATGCATTAAATAAATAAAAAATACATATGTAATACATAAAAAAACACATAAAAATATATAACATACTTAAAAATTCATATAAATACGTAAAAAAATATGTTGATACATTTAAAATTCATAAACATCTATATAAAAAACTTAAAAAGTACATAAATATGTAAAAATACATATAAATATGTAATACATAAAAAATAACATATAAAAATACATAAAAAAAAGTATGTAAATGATTAAAAATACATATAAATTCGTAAAAAAGTACGTTTATATATTCAAAATACATAAAAATATGTAAACATATAAATATAAAAACTTAGAAAAATATATAAATACATAAAAATATGTATAAATATGTAAAAATTACGTTTATACATTATATACAAATTTTGACAAGATCTACATAAAAGTCTCATTATTTTGGAAAATGTAACAATTTGGTCTAATGACTAGGTAAACAGGTTAAAAAACGCTAAATTGGATAAATTTACTGGTTTCTAGGACTTTTCTATTGAAAGAGTTCAAAAATCAGTACTTTTCTGTTCAAAAACTAAAATTTAAGACTTTATTAAATTTTTTCTAAAATATTAAGACTTTTCTAGTGATTTCATTTTTTTACTGTCATTGGTTTAGGGTTTTAGAAGAAGCAAACGCCAAAGTTGCGGAAGAGGATAGGGCTAAGAGACTTTAAGGTGTTGTTTGTTTTTTTTTAATCACTTCTGATCACTTATTGTTGCGCCGCAGAGCACTTGACCATTCACAACTGTTTGTTTTTCAGAAAACTTTTGACTTAAAAACTGTTGTGCGTGAGCTGTGTGGCGCAACATTGGACCCTTTGTTTCAAACTTCTGCACACTTTACTTTAACTTATTGTATCAGTCTGCAGATGTTAAAAAAACAAATAAACTTATTATTATATCTTGCAGTCGTTTGGTCCTCCTTTTTTGCAACAGAGGATTGCAGAGGTGGTCTGCAACTTCAAACATTTTCGTTTCGGAAAAACAAACAACACGTAAGTCTTGGTGCCCCGAATGGACGTGAGAAGCATGTTTCAATAAACTCGGTTAAAAAAGAAGTTTGCGGGACAGAGTGGACAAAGTCCAAATTCCAAAGGACTAAAACATAATTACCAGGATCCTTTTACTAGGGGTGTTAACGGGACGGTTCGGTTCGGATAGTAATAAAATTGTGAACCGTCATCACGGGGCGGGTACTTCATGTGCACTAACCGAAACCGAACCGAATTAGCAAAAAAACCGAACCGTATAATGGCGGGTAACCACGTTTCGGTTCACGGGTACCCGCTAAATATAAAAATTCAAATACAATTAAAATTACAAACTTAATTCCAACGATTTCTTTCTAAAAATTACTAAGTCCAAAGAATTATAAAAGCATAATGAAGGTCAAATAACATACATTATAATTGGTATAATAAATATAAAAATAAAAATAGAAGAAAACATAATGTAGAAGTGTAAAATTGGAATAGCCGCTCATGATTTTTGTTTGGGATATGGCTAAAAGTTTTGCATATATATATACATATATATATATATATATATATATATATATATATATATATATATATATATATATATATATATATATATATATATCAAGCGGTTCAGTTCGGTTATCCGCGGATACCTAAGTATCCAAACCAAAACCGACCCGTTGATATTCGGTTTTTTCGGTTTCGGTTTTTTTATGTTTCGGTTTTTCCGGTTTCGGTTTTTTTCGGTTTCGGATCGGCTGGTTCGGCTCGGTTTTTGGTTTTGCGGTTTTTTTGCACACCCCTACCTTTTACCAACAAGGATCCGCCCATTAGAACCACAGGCGATTCCAGAAGCCTTCGTCCTCTGTTTCAGTTCGCTTCGGGTCGATCTACCGGTACTTTGCATACCGGAGGTGAATTGATTTCACATCCTTGTTTTTCTTCTCCCCAATTTCTGAATCTACAAAGTAGAATTACTTAGTGGCGAGACAAGCTTTAACCATGTTGTGCATACTAAATGTTCGACGAAATGCCTCACTAACTTTTTTCAAATTACAGGAATTAATTTCCAAGTGTTCCCATTTTATGATCAATCGTCGAAGATGAGTGGACATTACGATGGATGGAATGAAATTCTAAAGATTCAGAAGTTCCGGAGAACGGTGGGATACACTATTTTCTTTTCTTTCTCGGCGCTCATTAGCTATGCCTACAACTCCAACACGTACGTATATCTAAATATATGATTGTTTTTCTTTTTCATTGATTATTTATTCGTATCTCAACATAAACTGAGACAACTTCGTCGTTCCCTGATTGGGTTTTATAATTTGTCTTTCCCTTTTTATTTCAGGACAAGAGCTGGATTCTCAAGAGGTGATCAGTTTTATGCATCTTATCCTGCAGGGAGTGAGCTTTTGACTGATACTACTAAGGTAAATTGTATATTATTATACATGAAAATGGTTTAATTGTTTGTTTATTGGATTTGTGATTTTGTTTGTGGTTAGTTGTATAAATCTGCACTTGGGAATTGCTTCGAAGAGGAAGAATGGGGCCCGATTGAATGGTCTGTAATGGCCAAGCATTTTGAACGTCAAGGGAAATCACCATATGCGTATCATGCTGTAAGTAACTTGAACTTTATAAGTAGTTAATATGTTGAATATTATTATAATTTATAAATGTTTGTGTGTTGGGTTTTGTTTTTGAGAAATTAAATTACCTCCTACTTTTGTTTTTGTAGCAATACCAGGCTCACCTTGCTTCTAATGGAAATCTTGATGGAAGTGGCTAGATCCAAGCAGGAGTAGGAGTCATATGTATTAATGGAGCATTTGCAATTTCATTAATACTAATATTAAAGAAGCTTTATACTTATGAACTTATGATGAATTGTAATACATTACTCTTGTAACATTGTGAATTAGGTGAATGAGTTTGTATGTTATTTTTGGCCACTCTTTCTTGCAAAAAGATTCTACAAATTATTTTTTTTATTATTTTTCTATTATTTTTTAAATTATTTTCCAATCGTGGTGGAAGAACAATAAGGTGGTCTATGGCCATCTAAAATTTCCTCTCTACTCACCTAAGGTTTCATGTTGACTTTTCCTGTTAGGTTTAAGCCAATACGATAAAATACAAACAAAAAAAGATAAAGATGCAATTTTAAAATGTAAAATGTCTTAATAGGTAAGAAAAAGGAAAATTTTGAAAATAAGATGCAACTTTTGAAGTATGATTACTTAATATGAGAAAAAAAAAATTAAGTATGATGACTCAATATGAAAAAATAGAAAGAAAAAATGCAGTTTCAAAATATGATGACCTAATATGAAAAAATTGGAAGAAAAATGCAATTTTCATAACATGATGTCTTAGTGTGAAAAAGTTTGAAAGTTTAACTTAAATTTGTAATGTATAATGTTTCAATAGGTAAAACAAATTGAAATTTTTGAAAATTATAAGCAATTTTCAAATGACTTAATATGAAAAAATTAAAAAACATAATTTGCAAGTATAATAACTAAATAGGAATAAGTTAGAAAAAGTTAATGCAATTTTGTAATGTATTATTTCTTAATAGGTAAAAAAATTGAAAATTTTGAAAATATGATGCAATTTTTAATGAATGGTGACTTAATATCAAAAAATTGAAAGAAAAGTGCAATGTTCCAAGAATAATAACTTAATAGGAAATTTTTTGAAAGTTTAATGTACTTTTGAAATACAAAATATCTTAATCTATAAAAAGGAAATTTTGAAATAACAAAACAATTTTCAAAGTATGATGACTTAATATTAAAAAATTGAAATAAAAATGTAATTTTCAAAACATAATGACTTAATGTGAAAAAGTTTGAAAGTTTAATACAAATTTATAATGTATAATGTCATAATAGAAATAAGAAATTGAAAACTTTGAAAATAAAATGCAATTTTAAAGTATATGATGACTTAATGTGAAAAAAAAAATTTTAAAAATGCAATTTTCCAAGTATAATGACTTAATAGGAAAATTTTTGAAAATTTAATGTAATTTTGAAATGTAGAATGTCCTAATAGGTAAGAAAAGGAAAATTTTAAAAATGAGATGCAATTTTTAAAGTATGATGACTTATTATGAAAAAACAGAAATAAAAAAAGCAATTTTCAAAATATGATGACTTAATATGAAAAAATTGGAAGAAAAATGCAATTTTCATAAATTGATGTCTTAATGTGAAAATTTTTGAAAGTTTAATTCAAATTTGTAATGTATAACGTCTTAACAGGTAAAACAAATTGAAAGTTTTGAAGATTAATTTTCCAAGTATAATAACTAAATAGGAAAAAGTTAGAAAAGTTAATACAACTTTGCAATGTATTATTTCTTAATGAGGTTTTAAGCCCGCGCGTTGCGGTGGGAGTTTAAGTCTACCTTTTTGTTTAAAGTACATTGTTATAAAGAGAAAAAAACAATTAATGTTCATTTTCATGAAATTTTGCAAATCTTATGGAAGTATATTGCTACAAATACACCCATATACAAGCACATGCACCATGTATTTAAACATAGGTATAGTTTTTACAATAATTATATTACCAAATCAATGTAAGTTAATTGCTATTTCTTGCTATAGTTAGCAGGTGTCAAATTACAATGCTACAACTATTTATATATTTGTGGTTGTTTGTATATGTGACTTTATCTATGTGTTTAAGTGTGACGTGACTCTATAGTGTGCATGAATGGTTGTGTATGTCATTGTTTATATGTTCACACTACTACTCTTTCATAAAAAAGGTTGATAGAATTGTCTATATGTATTTTCAGTAAATATATTTACTGTTCATATAACATACATACTTCCTTTGTCATTAAACGTGTTTTTATTAAATGCACACATTTTTTTAAAGGGAGCGTGAATGCTCTACTTGGCTGATCGCAACCTTTCCCATCTGTCAAAATAAATTTAAATCAAATATTGCAAAGTGGAGAGTTATTTGAAATAGGAAGGATCAGAAACAACTTTGTTGCAGTTAGCAGTTTCACCCTCTAAAACGACACCAGACATTTCCTTTCAACCTCACATTCAGGTTTCATTCCTGTTCAGCCAATCAAATGCCTAGAAACTATATTTCATATAAAAGAAAATGGTAGATTTAAAATACCCTTCATCTTTCCTTTTGATTCCTCCTCCCTAATAACACACCCCAGAAACATAAAGATAAATTACAATCAAATAAAGTTGCTTGCTTACTTGATGGAAACTTTTCTAATCAAACAGTCATGACATCAATACGGAATGCCATTATGATCAACTTCATGTTCGATACAGGGAGGACTTTTCCTACAACCTTATCAAGATTCAAAGAAAACATCAACAAATACACCAAATAATCTTATCTAACCAGAAAAAGTAAGGTATGTTGTGAGTGAGTTCAGAGGCTTCCGTTTCCAAAACTAGTTCAATGTTCAATTCCTTTAAGCAAGGCTATAACCAATTAAAAATTGATTTTAGGAATTTGATTTTTAATATTAACTCCATCTTTTATTTCATAAGAACTTGGGAATATAACAAACAAGAGTTTGCTCAGACTTTTTATGTTTAAAGAAGAAAAAATTAACACAAAACATTCATAGGACTAAAAAGTGATAAAATTCAAGCTTGATAGTGTTAAAAACGTTATAAATTAAAAGTTACTGTTATTTTGTCATTTAAATTTATTAGAAATATTCTCCTTCACTAAAAATCGAGCCTATTACAAAAACAAAGCCTTTAAATGAGTACAATAATTTAATACCAAAATAAGAATAAGCATTTAATACCAAAGAAAAAAAGTAATTAGAGAGAATTACCACTTCCTTATTCCACTCCATCCAAAACGATCGCTTCCTACTTTGCACCTGTGTATACTGTTAAAAAAAAATCAAAGTACATTGCTATTATGAGTGAGGAAATGAAATGTATTTGCTTTTACTAATAAAAATGAAAGTACATTGTATATATTGGTAAGAACAGTAAAGTCCATTGATTTTTGCTGCAACTCACAATGTAAAAGCATCATGAAGCATCTAAGATCTGGGGTAAGCAAAAGCCAGCATCTCCTAACAATTGCATTTGCTTTCAAGACCTTAAAGTCACCTGGACGCCTCATAAAGTAATTGCAAAAGAAAAAAAGGTTAAATTTAAGGAACAATAATTAAAATCGACAAAAGTATAGCCATGAGACCGTCTTAACCCACACACTTCATATTATTAACAATGACAATTTAATCCTCTAGTCGTAAAAGCTAAAACCTAAAGTATATTGTTATTTTTGCCATGTACCTTGTATGTTAGCCATTTCTCATCACTACAACAGTCAACATTTGGTAATAAAGTAAGTTGATCAGAAGTCATCGCCAAAATCTTTCACAATTAACTTGAGCATTTATAGCGTGAATGCTATGAAGTGACTCCACACTCCACAGACTTTCTTTCCTCATCAAGCGGACTGTTCATACTTTGTAGTACTCCTAGAACCTGGTGACAGTTGAACACCCTAGCAAACACACAGAACCATGCCTCCACACCTACTTTTCCCTCGACTTTAATGGGGTCTGATGTTAACATTCTTCCTCTAAATTGGTAACTGCCATTGCTGCCTTCACAACAATCGTAGCAAAGCTTCTCTTGCAATGATTGACACTAAGAGATAGAGTTGAATCGGATATAGCATGTATAAAAACCATGTAATTAGTCTTTTATAGAACTGGAAGAAAAAATAATGAAGCTTACATCCTGAGGATAAGATAGTCATGCAAGTTTGAACCAGGGGTTCTATATTTGTAGCACTGAACTCATTCTTAAACTTGTGTGATATTTGTTGCAAATGATCAAAAACGATTTTTGAAGCTATATAATAGCCCTCTGCAATACAAATCGGAGCGAAAATAATCATTCAACATGTTCTAGAAGTTCACCATCCGAAAGAACTCGTGTTGTCCAATAGTCATTCAACATGTCTCTGGAATTATAATTCCTTCAACAACTTCCTGTGAAAATATTATTATAATATAATTAAATCATCTAGTTGTCGAGATTAAAACAAATATGCCTCATAAACGGGTGGGTTTGCATTTTTTTTCCTCCAAAGTCACAATCTCGTTACCCAGAAGTAACTTGAAATTTTGTTTTATACAAAAAAATATGTAACCTGTTTACCTGACTCTTATGTAAATTCAATGATTTAATGATTTCATGTCTTGTTAAAAGGGTTAACTACTTATCAAAATAAAATAAAATAGACAAACCACATGTAACATGAATAAGCATCACCTTATTGTTAAGGCTGGTAATTTCATCAATTACTGCATAATAAATTTCGTGGTAGAACTCTGCCAATCAATTTAAAATAATTCAGCATTTAAAAAAAATGATTTTTACTCCATCATCAACTGCAATCGGTCTTCCAAGGCGATGCAACTCAGCTTCCGTGTCTTTAAAACCTTTATTTATCAGAGAAATAATTCCCAGTTTGTTTGCTTTAAATACAGATTCCAAATGCTATTAATAAAATCATCCAAAGAAATAATCATATTATAAGTCATTGCTTTTAAAGAAGAAAAGATCAAAATGACCTTACCTGTGAGAGAAGCTTTTTTGCTCACCAGGTGTCAATAATCAGTACTTATTTAAAAATACTCATGTTCCATTCAGCTTCTCATCTGTTCATAGCTTATACTAAGCTAAATTAGTGACAATCCTATTCATGATCGTTGACTATGATTCCCTATATAATTCACTATCACAATATTTTAAGCTATGAAGATAATTGTATATATAACTAACTTTTATAAAAACAGAATGAAACTTCTGAGATAGGAAAATACAACATCCCTACATGTCAAAAAAAAATGAAAGATGTTTAAAATAAACTATTAAGGGTAAAAATGTCAGAAAACCTCACAAATACGATATAAGAGATATGAACATGGACAACTTTTTAGCAAATATTAACCATACGAATGATGTCTATGTCGGTCTTTCTCCCTTGAGGAATATGTCAAGCCATGGTAGTCCCGATCTGAACCAACAAAAGGGCATAATTGTAAATTTCACACATAATATTAAAAATAATGTTTAAGTGAATTTTTTTCAGTCATGTACCTCGTGAAGAATGATGTTTTGGTTTTTCACCATGTCCTGTGTGTTGAAAAAGAGTGTAATTAAAAAAAAAATAGATAAAACTTACTTGATTGGAATGAATTGAATGGAATGGAATAAGCAAACCAAACCTGAATCCTTTCCTCCTCTATCCTTTGACCGATGACTCCTATCTTTGACTTTTTCTCTATCATCCCTTTTCCTTTCCCTTTTTGAATCCCTCCCTCTTTTATATCTCTCCCTTTCCCTTTATTTGCTTTTGGAAACAGATTCCCCCTCAACCGGAATTGAAACAGCACTCTGATTCTCAACTTTCTCATCAACATCATCACTCTTTGTTGAATCTTTCACCTTTTCCAATTCCACCCTTCAACTCCGGAATCACACGTGCCGGAGACACCAAAACCGACACCACAGGCACATTGTTTATATTAGCATCATCAATCATCTGTGATTCCTACACCACAAAAACCATAAATCAAAACAAAACCTAGAAAAAAAAAGTACAAGCATTACGCGCATGAGGCACGTACAATACACAACAAAAGTTATTAAAGTTTCATCCCCACCCCCACTTTCATAAATTAAAAAACGAACAAATAATAACGTGTAAAATGTTGTCAAAATACATGACACCAAATCCATCTTATCTCTTTCTTTTGTTTATTAAAATATTATAAAAAATTAGACCCTTGTGATTCCTTTTAAATCATATGTTCTTGAGTATGTACATAACCAAACATGTAATTATGTTGATATTGACTTTTTAATTTAATTCTTAAAAAGATCGATGAAATGAAAAGAATATATTAGAAGAATTGTATAATAAATCAAAATAGATTATTTTTTTTATAGTTTTTCTAAATAATTCACAAAAAGTATAGTATAAACACAAGTAATTGTAGTAGATTAATAATTAATAATATTATAAAATTATAAATTCCAAGAGCGATTAGACACAGTGAATGCATACACGTATATATTGTGCTTTTGGTAGAGTGTATAACTGAGCTAAAGCTCTACAAACTTCATCTATACCTGATTTATCAGCATCAAAAGCTTTCCACCATGGAGGATTTTCAGGGAGGGGGACATGGAATCTTCTAGCAATGGTAAGTAGTTCTGAGACAAACGAATTATAATTTTTTATTACAAAAAAGAAAACAAAAAGGAAAAAGAAATGGACCTTTAAAGTGGCATTTCAGCCTGCAATGCACCAACGTGTTGATTGCCTATCTGCAGGTACATGGAGTGGAGCTGCAGGTGCGATGCTGGTAGGCTGTAGAACCTGTTCTTCCTGCTCAGCTCCTTCTAATTCTTCAAGTTCAGCCTCCATCTCATCGTGCATATAAAATCATGGGATTTCTTTAGTATATTAAATATTATCCATAAGAAGGATATGTAAATGTAATTAATATCTTCAAAGTAAACACAAATGGAAATATAAAAAGAATAAAAGAAACCATAGACAATATTATATTATTACTGATTTACACATCACACCATTTGATTATCTTTCTTAAAGTCATTATAGGTTTTTGCCTTTCACCTTCAACTTCTGCAAATTTCAGACGTATTTCTGAATAGCTTTCTTGTATTTCCAACAATTCTTCCTCAGCACTTCAAGCCTGTGTTTCAATATAATATATTAATATTTAAAAAAACCGGATCTTTATTGTTTTAAATGACAAAGATCATTTACCTGTGAAATGGCAATGCTTTGATCAAGATTTCCAATATTGTTTCCAACTATTTTATTTTATGATGAAGATCTTTCTCTTTCTCATGAAATGAACTTTCAGAGCTTTTCAAAGCTGTTTCCTTCATTTTTATTTGACAATGGCAATATAAACTTTTTTTGCTTTAAACACTATTGCAGCTGGAATGAAAATTAGTTGGAATAAACAATAATGATTCTATAACAAACAATAATGAAAATTAATCATTGATTACAATCAAATCAAGTTGGAATAAACTATTGGTTGATTAAAAAAAAAAATCAAGATATGAGTGTATCTTACAGTATGAAGATGTTAGCAGATCCTTTTAAATGATTTGACACATAGTGGGAATTGTTCTAAAAAAAAACATGAAAAAACCGTCAAAGCCCAAAAACCTTATACAAAAAACGAACTAAATAATCATTGTACATAAAGATAGCGGTTGGTCCTCCGTTACCCGAAAACCCGTTGATTTTGTTACTGATGTAATATTAATCCAAGATTTTCCAGGGAGAGCTACTTTCACTGTAAACAGTAAATGGTAAATCAATTTCTGAAAGGAAGACATGGCGAGACTAAAGAAGAGAGAAAGAGAGAAGAGGGGGATCGGAAACTCAGAGCAAACAAAAGAATTAAAACCGTAGATGGTAATATGAGAGTCTATTGAATTTCTCGAGATAGAGCAGAAATTGAGTACAAATGCGATGTTTACACATACCCGAGAGACCAGAGCGTCTCTCAAACGGGTGTTGCGATCTAATTTGATGGGCGTCGTTGGAAAATGTACAAATGCGATGTTTACACATACCCGAGGAACGACGATAACAAGGATTGAATCAACCCAGTTGTAAGTTGTGTCGTTCTATCGTGAGGATAGAAGCAACGTGTCCAAGGGATTCGGAAACGGGAGCCTGAAAGAAAAGATGTACCTTTCTCTTTGAAACGTCTGTTTGAAGCAACGATTGACTGTCTTCAACCGTTGCAATTGCTCTTCCTTGAGGCCTGCTCACACGCTGTACGCGCTTTTTAAAAAATAAGGTTTTTTTATATAATAATGATATATAACGTGGTAAGGGCTTTAAGGCGGACCAATGGCGGTTTCCGGCTAGGGTTTTAAGATAGTCGGAGAGGATTGTAGCGGGAGAGAGAGTAAACAGTGAACAAAACCATACAAGCACAGTGAAGTGAAAAACACTCTAGATTCATGTGCTCTTATCTACAGTGTTTAACATTTTGACAAATGTTAATGTTTACAATAGGTAAAAAAAATTGAAAATTTTGAAAATATTATGCAATTTTTAATGAATGCCGACTTAACATCAAAATAATTGAAAGAAAAATACAATTTTCCAAGTATAATAACTTAATAGGAAAAATTTTGAAAGCTTAATATAATTTTGAAGTATAGAATGTCTTAATCGGTAAGAGAAAGGAAATTTTTGAAAATAACAAGTAATTTTCAAAGAATGATGACTTAATTTGAAAAAATTGGAATAAAAATGCAATTTTCAAAACACAATGACTTAATGTGAAAAAGTTTGAAAGTTTAATGCAAAATTTGTAATGTATGATGTCTTAATAGAATTAACAAATTGAAAATAAGATGCACTTTTTAAAGTATAATGACTTAATATGAAAGAATTTAAAGAAAAACTAATGTAATTTTGAAAAGTAGAATGTCTTAATAGGTAAGAAAAAGGAAAAATTTGAAAATAAGATGCAATTTTTGAAGTATGATGACTTAATATGGAAAAATAGAAAATTTTTGAAGTACAATGACTTAATATGAAAAAATAGAAAGAAAAATGCACTTTTCAAAATATGATGACTTAATATGAAAAAAATTGGAAGAAAAATGCAATTTTCATAACATGATGTCTTAATGTGAAAAAGTTTGAAAGTTTAATGCAAATTTATAATATATAACATCTTAATAGAAATAACTAATTGAAAACTTTGAAAAAAAATGCATATTTTAAAGTATGATGACTTAGTATGAAAAAATTCAATAACTTAATGTGAAAAGGTTTGAAAGTTTAATGCAAATTTATAATGTATAATGTCTTAATAGAAATAACAAATTGAAAATTTTGAAAATAAGATGCAATTTTGAAATGTAAAATTTCTTAATAGGTAAGAAAAAGGAAAATTTTAAAAATAAGATGCAATTTTTGAAGTATGATGACTTAATATGAAAAAATAGAAAGAAAAATGCAATTTTCAAAATATGATGACTTAATATGAAAAAAATTAAAGAAAAATGCAATTCACCAAGTATAATGACTTAATAGGAAAAATTTTGAAAATTTAATGTAATTTTAAAGTACAAAATGTCTTAATCGGTTAGAGAAAGGAAAATTTTGAAATAAGAAGCAATTTCCAAAGTATGATGACTTAATATGAAAATTTGAAATAAAAATGTAATTTTTGAAACATAATGACTAAATGTGAAAAAGCTTGAAAGTTTAATGCAATTTTCAAAACATGTTGTCTTAATGTGAAAAAGTTTGAAAGTTTAATGCAAACTTGTAACTAATAATGTCCTAATAGGTAAAACAAATTTAAAATTTTAAAAATTAGATGCAATTTTTAAATGACTTAATATGAAAATATTAATAGAAAAATGTAATTTTCCAATAGGAAAAAGATTCAAATGTTAATGCAATTTTCTAATGTAATATTTCTTAATAGGTAAAAAAAATTGAAAATTTTCAAAATGCAATTTTCAAAATATCATGCCTTAAAAGAAAAAGAATGAAAAAGATGAAAATAAGATGCAATTTTCAAAATATGTTTTCTTAATATGAAGAAATTGAAAGAGAGATGCAATTTTCATATTATAGAAAAATGTAATTTTCCAAGTATAATAATTTAATAGGAAAAAGATTCAAAAGTTAATGCAATTTTCTAATGTAATACTTCTTAATAGGTAAAAAAATTGAAAATTTTGAAAATGCAATTTTCAAAATATCATGCCTTCAAAGAAAAAGAATGAAAAAGATGAAAATAAGATGCAATTTTCAAAATATGTTTTCTTAATATGAAGAAATTGAAAGAGAGGTGCAATTTTCAAAATATGATCTCTTAATAGAAAAATGTTTACTTTATGCAATTTTCAAAATATGAAGAAATTTTCTTAATATGAAGAAATTGAAAGAGAAATGCAAATTTCAAAATGTGTTGTCTTGATAGAAAAAAGTTTATTTTATGCAATTTTCAAACTATCATGCCTTATCAGAAAAAATCGAAAAAAGTGAAAATAAGATGCAATTTTCAAACTATGTTTTGTTAATATGAAGAAATTGAAAGAGAAATAAAATTTTCAATGTGTGATGTCTTAATAGAAAAAAGTTTATTTAATGTAATTTTTCAAAATATCATGCCTTAAAAGAAAAAAATGAAAAAAATATAAATAGAAGGCAATTTTCAAAATATGTTTTCTTAATATGAAAAAATTGAAAGAGAAATGCAACTTTTAAAGTATGATATTTTAATAGAAAAAAGTTTATTTAATGTAATTTTCAAAATATCATGCCTTCAAAGAAAAAAAAAATGAAAATAATTAAAATAAGATGCAATTTTCAAAATATGATGTCTTAATAGAAAAAAGTTTATTTTATTCAATTTTCAAAATATCATGTCTTAAAAGAAAAAAAAAATTAAAATAAGATGTAGTTTTTAAAATATGTTTTCTTAATATGAAGAAATTGAAAGAGAAATGCAATTTTCAAAATATGATGTCTTAATAGAAAAAAGTTTATTTAAGCAATTTTCAAAATACCATATCTTAAAAGAAAAAGAAATGAAAAAAAAATAAATAAATAAGATGTAGTTTTCAAAATATGTTCTCTTAATATGAAGAAATTTTTAAAAAAAATGAAATTTTCAAAATATGATGTTTTAATAGAAAAAAGTTTATTTTATACAATTTTCAAAATATATTTTCTTAATATGAAGAAATTGAAAGAGTAATGCGATATTCAAAATATGATTTCTTAATAGAAAAAAGTTTATTTTATGCAATTTTCAAAATATCATGCCTTGAAAGAAAAAAAAATGAAAATAAGAAGTAATTTTCAAAATGTGTTTTCTTAATATAAAGAAATTGAAAGAGAAATATGATTTCAAAGTAAGATGACTTAATAGAAAAAAGATTATTAAATTCAATTTTCAAAATATCATGCCTTAGAAGAAAAAAAATGAAAATAAGATGCGATTTTCAAAATATATTTCTTAAGATGAAGAAATTGAAAGAGAAATGTAATTTTTAAAGTATGATGTCTTAACAGAAAAAAGTTTATTTAATGCAATTTTCAAAATACCATGTCTTAAAAGTAAAAAAAAAAGGAAAAAATAAAATAAAATAAGATGTAGTTTTCAAAATATGTTTTCTTAATATGAAGAAATTTTTAAAAAAAAATGAAATTTTCAAAATATGATGTTTTAATAGAAAAAAGTTTATTTTATGCAATTTTCAAAATATCATTCCTTAAAAGAAAAAAAATGAAAATAAGAAGCAAATTTCAAAATATATTTTCTTAATATGAAGAAATTGAAAGAGTAATGCAATATTCAAAATATGATTTCTTAATAGAAAAAAGTTTATTTTATGCAATTTTCAAGAGATCATGCATTAAAAGAAAAAAAAAAATGAAAATAAGAAGTAATTTTCAAAATATGTTTTCTTAATATTAAGAAATTGAAAGAGAAACATGATTTCAAAGTAAGATGACTTAATAGAAAAAAGATTATTAAATTCAATTTTCAAAATATCATGCCTTAGAAGAAAAAAAAATGAAAATAAGATGCAATTTTCAAAATATATTTTCTTAAGATGAAGAAATTGAAAGAGAAATGTAATTTTTAAAGTATGATGTCTTCAGTGGTAAAAGATTGAAAGGAAAATGCAAATTTCATGTCGTAAAAGAATAAAACAGAACAGTGATACTCAAAATGGGAGGATTTTTTAAATGTAATGAGCTAAAAATAAGAAAACTAAAAGTAGAATGTTATAATTGGAAGATTTTTCAAATTAAAATGCATGCATGAGAAAAAAAAAGTTTGATGTTTTAATGTTGTAAAGGAAAGTAAAGTGAAAGTTGAATGCTAAACTGGTATGATTTTTGAAAATGCAAGTTGCTAATTGTAAAAACACTACAAGATTTTTCAAAGTAAATGCATAGATGAGAAAAAAAAAGTTTGATGTTTCCATGTAGAGAAAAAGGAAAAGTGAAAGTAGAATGCAAAAAATTGGATGATTTTTTTAAATGAAAGGTGCTAATTGTAAAAAATTTATAATTAGACTATTTTTCAAAGTAAATTCATTGATGAGGGAAAAAAAAGTTTGATGCTTTCATGATGTAAAACAAACAAGAATTACGAAGTTGAATACATAAATTATGCAAATGAGAAAGAGTGAACATGGAAACATACTTTTGAAAGAGAAGAGGCCATCTTTCTTTGGTGGCCTGATTCCTTATTCCCAGGTAAATTGCGACCTTTTGTTTTCTGAAGCAGAAAAATGGCGAGTGAATTAGTTGTAGAATATCAATTAAGTTGGTGAGTCTCTGGAAATTACATAAATACCCCTGAATTCTGGAGCACCTTTGAATGGATCGTAGCCTAGACCATGCATATCCTGCTTTGGATTTAGCACATAAACCTGGAAAAAAAACAAAAAGTATGAGGAGACACTAGTCACCACTTTTACAATTCATGTGATGCATGGAAAATGATGAAAACAAGGATATATATATATATATATATATATATATATATATATATATATATGCACTGGAGTACTTTTGTGGAGCTGACTAACACCATCAGTAGAGAGTTCTGCAGCAGATGCCAAGTCATCCTCAGCTTCAACTTGAGTGGGAGGTGCTTTTGCATCTTCAGAAAGAGCAAGAAAAGCTTTTCTAGCTTCTCTGCAATTAGAGGTGGTTAATCAGATCGCATCTTTTTTCCTTGTGACTGCATGCTTTTATTAGATTATATGAAAAATGCAGTTGTGACATGTTAGAGATGATTTTTGAAAATGCAAATTGCTAAAGCTAAATTCTTAAAAGTAAATGCATAAATCTTTGATGTTTTAATGTTGTAAAAAGTGAAAGTTGAATGATAAAAATGGTATATCTTTGAAAAGCAAGGTGTTAATTGTCAGAAAACTGAAACTAGAATACTATACTTGGAAGATTTTTAAACGTAAATGCATAGATGTTAATTTTTTTTTACAAGTTTTCATGTTGTAAAAGAAAGAAAAGTGAAAATTGAATGCTAAAAATGGTATGATTTTTGAAAATGCAAAGTGCTAATTGTAACGAAACTGGAAGTAAGATTTTTAGAAGTAATGCTTAGATAAAAAAAAAAAAAAAAGTTTGCTGTTTTCATGATGTAAAATAAAAACAAAGTAAAAGTGAAAATTGAAAGCTAAAAATAGTATGATTTTTGAAAATGTAAGTTGCTAATTGTAAAAAAACTAGAATGTCATAATTGGAAGATTTTTCAAAAATAAATACATAGATGAATTAAAAGCTTGATGTTTTCATGTTGTAAGAAAAGGAAAAGTGAAAGTAAAATGCTAAAAGTGGGATGATTTTTTAAAATGCAAGGTGCCAATAGTAAAAATTTAAAGTGGGATGCTATAATTAATATTTTTCAAAGTAAAATGCATAGATGAGAAAAAAAAAAAGTTTAATGTTTTCATATTGTAAAAGAAAGTAAGTGAAAGTTGAATGCTAAAAATGGTATGATTTTTAAAAATGCAAGTTGCTAATTGTAAATAAAAAATAACCTAGTAGGTGATCCCATGCTTTACATGGGATGATTTTTTTCCTTTTTTTGTGTTGTGTTGAATTGGATTGTTGGTACCCACTCGAGATAAAAAATCGACAACAATACACACACACAAAGGGTTAGAAATAAGTTGTATAAAATGTGTTATAGAGTATATGCAATAAGGGTACAAACAAAATTGGATGTAATTCTTATCGATAAATGGAAGGTTCCATCTCTCCCATACAAATTTCAAAAAGAAGTTGTCAATAGTAATCTTTTGTTCTAACCTGAATAAATCCAAAAAAAATGCCTTGTTTTGCAATGATCTCACTTCCCCGGGTGGTGCTAAGGCTATGTAGGTGTGGTTTGTTGATATGAAACCTTCGCTAGAAATGAACCTACATACAAGTCAGGCATTTTACAATTTAGCCAAATTTGTTGAGAAAATTACCTACTTTTGTTGAGAAAAAAAATTAAACGTTGTGTTAGATTGAGACTTAGTAAATATCCCCGGACACCAAGAGGTATACCAGAAACCACACGGGTCAACACTTAGAAGTATTCACAAGTCTTACTCTTTTAATATGTATTAAACAGAATTTTAAGATCTAACCTTCTCTTCCAACTCTCTAGAGTTAAAAGCATCAGACTTTTTTCAAAGTACTCCATTTAACCTTGCTTTTAGTTCTATCAGTGAGTTAAAAAAAAGACTAACCCAAATTAAACATTATACCTTCAAACCAATAAATAAAAACTAATGTTCTTTTAAATAAACCAATACTTGGGAATCACAAAGCAAAATCAAAAAGTTACAGCAAGACATATATGTAATTGGAATTTGCAATTCTTTTTTTATATCAACATTAGGACCTTAGTACCTTTGTGGAGATGGCTACCAAAATTACATCAAATCTGCATTGTAGTAGATTGAAGGTAAAAAATAAACAATAAAAACCATACTTGATATATGCTCCTTTTCTCAAATAGAAGAAAGAGTACCATTTCAATAGTGTAGCTGATAAAGTTAGCTTCAAGCCAAATACAATCAGTTGAAACTAACAGTTATGTCACCTGCTATTTTTCTAAATTTTGAAGTGAAAGCAAGCTCTAAAAATAAATAAATGGAAAAGCCAAAGGGAAAAATGGTCATTCCTATTTTAAGTCTACCTCGGCTTTCAACTCTTCAGAAACAACCCACCTCCAAAATTTGCACAACTTCTATACCTTCACCTATAGATCTTACCTTGGGATTTGAAGCGATTGGTTGAGAGAACAGAGGCTGACTGTCGTCTCTAACATGAAAATATGTGCAAAACCAACCCATCGTCCTGTGATTTAACTCTACAAAATTCATAACATGAAAAATATATGGATATTTTTTAGTATGAAAAAGTAGATGTTTTTAGAATTTTACAACTAAGCACTGGATTCATCATAAATACTGTTATATAGAAGAGACATCGAACAGATTTAGACTTGGATATCATAATCTTGTAACACACATATCAGAATCGTGTAACAGATTAGTCATTAATCAACATACATTGCTATAAATTCAACTAAATGCCCTACAAGGAGTATATAATTTATATATCATTAACCCCATCTGTTAAAATAGTAATCACACATACAAACACTTCTATTATTTGCTAAATATTAATTATATGATTAAACCATTCAACACGAATTTTTTGTTCAACAGAAAATTAATGCTCAACACTAAAAATTATCATTTTTACAACAAAAAAGACATTTTCAAAACAAAACAATGACAAAAAGGATCCTTTTAATAACAAACAGTTACCATTTTGACAGCAAAAACTATACAAGCAACTTGCAAATTTTGGTCTAATCAAACTACAAATTAATTTTTCATCTTGACACGTTTATTGGAGCATTTTGAATCATTTTAAAACATCTAACAGGAAAAAAGTTAAACTGTTATGTAGACTTGCAAAAGTTGGAATGGAACATTGACATGAAAACCTTTTGTAGAAAAAATAAATATTTTTTGGGTTTGAGACAAAAAAAAAATTATATATGACAGAAGTTTACTCTAAGAAAAAAGTTGAAAATATGATGGTTAAATTGAGAAAATAGAAGTAGGATGCTATAAGAAAAAACAAATGGAAGTAATATTTTTTATAAGTAATTGTGGGTGTATATGTGTATTAGCGTATATGTATGTGACTGTAGTGTTTATTGGTGGAGGAAAGTCATTAAAATTGGAAAAAATGTATTTAGAAGAGCAGTTGAACAGAAGACCATAATCAAATTGAATCAACATACAACATACAGAAACTCCGAAGAGCAACTGAGACAGGCGGTTGGTGGCGGCTATACAACGCAGGCGGTTGTAGGCGACAGAATTCGAATTCCTAAATTCTTGGTTGAGAAGTCGTCGGGAAACTCAAACCAAGAGAGTCAGAAACGAAGAAAGAAAGGAGTCCAAGAATTTGAGAAGTGATGGCAGTGGGTTTTTGGATTGGGAAAGTAAGGTTGTGAAAATTTACAAAGTATCTTGGTGAAATTCTGAATTTGTTGAAGTTTACTGTTCAGAGAACGGCTATAGAGCACAAACAAACGTCTGGTGAAATTGAAATCCTGAATTCTTTTGATGGATGCGTTTAACTGCTTAGAAAAGCAGTTGGTGTTATGATGGCTACATGTGACTTTAACATTAAGTAAATATTTAGGTGGCGTTTGATTGGAACAGGAGAGTATGTTGAGTAAGTGGTTCCAAAGTATCAAGGGTCCATGATTCTGCTGCACATTCCTATTTCATGTAAAACAAACATGATTTTTCAATTTATTTTACCATACCTTTGGTTTTCTTGCTCTTTGTCGATTATAATCAACATGTTAACTCTATATGAGAAGGTGTAAGAAATCTTATCTTGATATGGAGCTTATTTCTTAACATGAATGGCAACTTTAAAATTGAGTGTTAGAGAAAGGATCAAAATCATCTTATGATCATTATCAAAATATTAATTAATAATTTTAAACTGAATTTTTGAGAAAGGATGAAATGATCTAATGATTCATTATTACACTGAAATAAAGGATTGGATACTTATAGTGTTATGAATCATTGTAGTTAACAATGAAAAAATTGTTTTCAAATATTTCAAGGACATCAAAATTGAGAAGACTCATGCCCCAACTTCAGCCAGAAACCCATGAAAGTCCAAAAGGTTATAAAAAAGATTAAATTATCTGAAAATTAGATATATAATGATTAAAATATACATCACAAACAGGTTAACAGTAGATTCTACCGGAAAAGTCGATTTTATAGATTTGGAAAGTAAGAAAAATAGAAAAGTTGAAATCGAAAATTGGATAGAAAATCAAACTCATATGGCAGCGAACATACCCGGAATTCAAATAGCAATTGAGTGTAGATGATTGGAGGCGGCAACAATCACAACCGTTTTTTGGCGACAAAATTGAAAATTCATAGTTCTTGATTGAGATAATTTAGGAGATGTCAAACCCAAAATTGAAAAATCCTAATTTATTGATCGAGAAAGCGTAGGAGATGTCAAATCCACTCAATCAGAAAGGAAGAAGAAGAGGAGTCCGAAGAATTTGGAGAAACGTATGAAAGCGATGATGGGGGAAAATTGTCGAGAGGCTTCCGTAACTTCAATTTCATCGAGTCAGAAAGTTAGAAAAATAGCATATTCGAAATTTAAAATTAGACATAAAATCAAAATTGAATACAACAATAGAGAACATACCCAGACTTCAAATTCAATTGATTGTAGATGGTTGGAGGCAAAATAGAGCATAGCAGTTTCTTGCCGATAGAAGTTGAAATTCTAAGTTCTTCATGAGTTTAATTTCAAGAAAATTTAATTGTCAATCAGTGAGATGGCAAACGGTTTTGAATGGTAAAGTTAATTCATGAGTTTAATTCAAATTTTGGATTCTTGTTTGAGAAGGCGTATGAGAAATCAAAAAGAGAAGTCTGACGAATTTGGAGAAACTTATGGAAGAGATGATGGAGGAAATATTGGATTAACTGTAGGGTATGTTTGAAATCGTTAATTGGTGAGGATAGAAAATGTTGGACAAAAGTGTAAAACTGTTAATTGTTAGTGTTAGAAGTCTA